ACAATTTTAAATTCGTTCTGAAAACAATACCTTCCAAAACGAACAACGAAAAAAAAACTTAATAAATTGTAGAAAAAATTCAATAATGGCTGTATTAATTTTTTTTTATTCATTTTTGTTGAAATATAAAATTTATTTTTTATTTTTAATTATTTTTTTAAATTCATATTTTTTTTTTTCAAATAAAGAGAAAAAAAAAACTAATTTAACATTTTAATATTATATTGACGACAACACAAAAAAAATAAAGTTGGGTCAAACCAATGGTTTGTATTGTAGCACTTTTCCCTTCAACAAGTGAAAATTCTGCTTTTAAATACAGTCTATGTATAGCTATCACACTATTAAAATTATTTTCATTCAAATACAAACTATTTCTAGGATTGCATATATTTAGGATGACGCATATATGCAGTCTTTGAAATAAAGCAAAAATTAATATAAAAAGGGGTTAACATAATGCTCGATTTTAAGGGTTAATTGTGTGAGTTAAGAAAAATAATTATATTTTTTAATTTCATGGAATTTACCGTTAGCTTTTTGCGTTTATAAAAATTTGGAAAAGCTTGCGGTTTCGGAAATATAAGGTGTCAAAAATTCAAATTTTACGAATTTCAAGAGGTGATAACTTGAGAGGGGGTGGAGATGGAAAAAAATTTTCTTCTAACAAAATGAACTATTTATTAATATCTAAAAGCTCCTAAAATTTCAAGCTTCTAGAGTCTGGGGTGTAGAAGAAAAACGACATCAAAAATTTGGAAAAAAAAGACTTTAAATAACGGTAAATTTGAACGGCCATTTTGTTTTTCTTAAGTTGAACTATAGTATACCGCGCAAGGGGAAGCAAGCCATTGCCTTTCTGCGTTTGAAAAATTTCAAAAATGCTTATGGTTTCATTGCAACAAATATTTAAAAAAGGTCATTTTTAGGGTTTTGGGGGGGTATATCTTCTAGAGGGGGGGAGATAGGTAAAAATTTTGTTCTACGGAAATAAGTTTCTAGTGAAGATCTATGTACGTATTAAATTTCAGCTTTCTATCTTCAAAGATGTAGAAGTTTTGTAAACAGACACACGGACGGACGGACGGACGGACGGACGGACGGACGGACGGACGGACGGACGGACGGACGGACAGAGTGAAACTAATAAGCACTTTTTTCAAAAAATTTTTTGGAAAAGTGCTAAAAACCAAAAAAAAACAAGAGCAAAAAAAATAAAATAAAAATAAATAAATGAAAAAAAACCGTATATACCGTTATAGCACTGATTTTTATTTACTGTAAAATATTTAATTAAAAAAAAAAAAATTGAGTCTTGAAAGGAAGCTATCAGTGTCAGTGTGAATTTTTTTTTTCATTACGGAATTTTTATATAAAAATTTTTCTTTGTTTAATTCAAAAAAAAATTACAAATTTTTTTTTCTTTATAAATTCTGCAAGTATTTTAATAAATTCTTACATTTTTTCCAAAAGATTTTTATAACAAGTGCAATTTTTATTAAAATTTCCACTTGAACATTACAAGAATTGCAAAATAAACGCATTATCAAAAATATTGTTAAAATATTGTTAAAATTAAATTCTAAACATTTAATTTTTGCTTTTTTTAAAAAAATAATTGTGGAACTGAAATATATTGAAATTTTTTTAATTATACAATTTGTATAAATTTTATATTTACAAATATAATTTTAAAGAAACTACTTGAATTTTTATTAATAAATAAAATTAATTTTATTAAACTCTCTAAAATTAAATAATTATTTTATAAATTCAATAACACCAATACTACATTTAATATTAGAACAGTTTTCTCAAATAAAATTATAAATATACAGGTAAGTTTAATTATAAATATTTTATACGTAATACCATTGCACAAATTTGAATTAGAATAGATTAACAAGGTTTACAGTAGCAACTCATAATTATTTACCTTATTACATTTTAATTACATTTTCCGCGAGTCTACCACAATTTTCACCAAATTTCAGTAGTTTTCAATTAAAATTAACATTATTTTATATTTATGATTTATTTTTATTAATTGTTATAAAAGAATATTGAATATTATATTAAAAAAGTATCCTGTAATAATTTTATATTATAAAATAATTTTCAATAATTTTAATTTTAAATATTTATAATATTAATGCCGGCGGAATTGAGTAATTTACAATATTTATTATGTGAGAATATTATATATACAATATATAAACTGACCGTATTGTATTTGAAACAATAATTAAAATATTTAAGAGATATTTCAACAAAATTTATATATTTTTTTTTATAATTACAAAAAAATTTAATCGAAAAGTAACTGATTAAGAAAAAATAAAAATTAATATTATAATATTAAAATATTATCGCGCAGAAATATTGTACTTATATTTGTATATATATGTAAATTTTTTATTATAAAAATATTAAATATATTTATAAATATTTGGTTTTTAATATATGATTATAGTATTGAATTTGAAAATATTATCGTATGAATTTTCAACGATAATAAATAATTGTTGCGCTTTTTCTTATATTATTCCTGATTTCTTCAATATTTTTTGTTTGGGCTATCCCCCCATTTCATTCATAATATTCTAAATTTACTACATATTAAAATTTTTTGTGTTATCATAAATTTAATATATATATATATGTATATATATTTTCTGATAACTCTTATTTTTACTATTTTAATGTGCAATATCAAATTTTATAAATTTTCTATCAGGCTTTTTTTTTTTTGTTTTACAATAATATTTTGTGTATTACAAATTTTATCAGTTTTATTGTATGTATATGTGAGTATAATATGAAAATATTATACCTTATAAATGAATTTTTTAAATATTATGACTAGTGCATTTTGTTATTTTTGATAAGGATAATAATATAGATAAGAAGAAAGTTGTATATGTGAACATTTACCGTTGATAACACATATATTGTATATTTTATCAAAACTTTACATATTACCTATACAATATTATGCAACTGTTTACAATTTGAAATATGTATTAAAAACAATATTGGTTCCCATATCGTGTTCAATTTAAATCTAAAATAATTTTTAAAATATTTGTAAAGTGCGTATTAAGTATATAATATTGAATTCCTAACTTCAATATTGTACAACTACCTACAATTCAGTAATATTACAACACAATTCAGCAATGACAAGGTGCAGACTTTGAGCTGGTTTGAGCAAAATACAGCACATTGCTATATATAGTTTTGAAATTAGTCTTTAATATTGTGCAATATTTTTTATAAATACCAAGGACTTTATTTTTCCCTTTTTAATTCACTTTAATAATAATAATAATAACAAGGTGTTGATAATTCAAAATAAACTATATATTGTAATCTTTAAATATTCTAATCATTTAATTTACAAAAAAAAAAATGAAAGAACGGAGATAAAAAACATTTTTTCACGTCTTATTCTTGTAAAAAAAATATTATATGCGCTTTTTTTTCCTTAGCACACTTATATTTAATTTTTTTTTTTTTTTTCGAAAAAAAAAAATGATAATTTTTATCACGAAAATTATAAAAAATAAAAAAAAACAACTTTTCTAAGGGAATGCTGATATTTGACTTTATTTATTTTTATTTTTTTGAAAACTTGGTATATAAATTTATTAAAATAATTTTTTTTTAGTTTTATTTCGATTATCGGCGGGAAAGCATTATATACTTATATACATATATAAATAATATAATATTATAAAATATTAATTTTAAATATATTTTAATTATTAAAATTATTAATTTTAATAATTTTATTATAATTTTTTTTTTTAAAAATGAATTATAAAATTCATGAATTAATAATACTGTTATACGATAGTGTATAACAGTATAGTTTAAATGATTGCAATATTATTTTATTTTTAATCAACCCATATAGTGATTAAAAATTAATTTAATAATTTTAAATATATTTAAATGAAAAGAGTGTGCCATAATTTAATTTTATTATAAATGTAATTTTAATAATTTTCAATTGTTGTGACAAGAATTCCATAAAACTCGTAAAACTAAGAGTAATTAAATTATAATTAATTAAAGCAAATTATAAATAAATAATTGAAATGTGATCTTAAAAAAATTAATTAAAATATTAAAATTGAATATATAAAACAATATTAATTCGGGAGAGCAGCTCTTATTCGGGAGTGCAGCTCATATAATCTTAACTTTAACCTGTATGTGCGGTTAAAATGCCTAAAACAACAATAGTTGGAGATATATTCACATAATACAGAATATCGTATGACGTATAACAAAAATACTAAATTCTAATTGTATGACGAGTTCTACCTCTTAACTTACAAAGTATAGAATGTATTTCCTAATTACAATATTAATATTAATTTAATAATTAAATTTAATAATTACTTTTAAATTAATTTTAATAATAAAATCTTTAAAATAAATTTTGTATAAATTTTTTTTTAAATAATTATAACACCTACTGTTGAATTATATACTGAAAAATAATAAATTAACAAAAAATGTTATATTCTTACTTGTTTATGTTCTCTGCCTCATTGCCCTCACATATTGATGCTGCAAATAAAAAGTGTTATACAAATATATGATTATACTCACGTATAATTGAATTAATTTTAAAATGCTATAATTATTAACTAAATTCTTGAAAATTAAAAAAAATCGAATTGTATACTTTAAATATCAAATAATAAATGTTTGATTAAGAATTTTTTGTATATAAGTTATAAATAAATTTACAAAATACAATTATATAAAATTTAAAAAATTTTTATGGAACTTCGTTCAACATACAGAATTATTCTTTATGATTCAACAAAAAAATGAAAAAAAAAATATGCAGGACTATTCCATATCTTGGAGAAGACTAACAATTTTATCTGTTCTTGTGGGTTTGAAATTAAAAATATACTCAGATTGCTTTAATTACTATAAATGAAACCATCAAGCAGCCACTGTAATTTACGAGTAGAAAAAAAATTTTGTATGCTTATGGTATTTATGAAATATTTGACTAAATATACAAAATTATTGAATATACTTTTGATTATCAAATACAATTGTGAATAAAATCTTATAAAATAAATTAAAAAAAAAAAATTTAAAAATCAATACGAGTACAAAACATGATAAGAATTTTCGGTTCTTAATGTATTTCAAATATAGCAATTACATGTTATTGTCCAGTTTTACAATTATACAAATGATAAGTTGTTGGGACCGCAGTATTATGGTGTATAAATAATAACGACTTGTGGCTTAATTTCATTTTTATTTTTTTATTTTTTGTGATAATATCGTTTTGCCACCATAATTCAAAACCTTAAAGAATTTAAATATTAAAGAAAAAAAATATATAAAACGTCCATTTTTAATTTTTCAAGAAAAAAGGAATAAATAATAACAAGAACAAAAAAATATTACAATAAGTATAATACGTACAAGATGAGCACATTGTGACGACGCTCGTCTTATCAGTGAGTACACAATAATACATTTAATGTTTTCCATAATATTCTTGTGTGTTATAAAAAAAAATTTTTTTATACATTAAAGCATAAAATTAAAATAGTTTTTATATTAACTTGTTTATAGTTATGCTACGATATGTCTACAAACATATGTACATACAAGTACATATTATATTTTAAAAAATTTTAGGAAAAACAAAGGAAAATTTCAATTTCCTGTCTGTGTCCAGTGGAATTTATAATTTTGCGCGACGCATATTTTACGTATTTTTTGTGTACAATATTTATTTTATGTGGTATGGCAAATTAAGGAAAACAAAACAACAACAGCAGCATAACCAACAGAAAATTGCGGTCGTCGTACAATTCCTTAACAATTTTGTTTTTTTTTTTTTTTACTTCTTATACTTTTTGTTGGTTTCATATCGCGATTTGATATAAAAATTGCCCTTTTTTTTTCAAAAACATTCTTACTTACATTCTATATACAAGATAATAATTTTTTATTACGAGTATACAAAGAAAATTTTTCTTTGTTTTAAAAAAAAAATTAAAATTTCATAAAGGTTTTTGAGTTTTAAAAGAAAGTTGAACAATATTATAAATTTTTTATGTATAGCTATATAGTTATGTATGTATGTATGTATGCTCCAACATAATTGTGTTTAATATTTATACATAAGTAATTAGACATTGTGTAGAAAAATTCTTCATGAGACCGGAAATTTAAATTATATATGTTTGTATGTATGAATGTAAGTCATTGTTATATTAGATAAAATATAAATATTGAGTACATACATATGTAAAATATTACTTTTGACTTTCATTTATAGGCCACCATTTTTTTTTGCTTTTTGCGTAATTTTATTTTATTCTTTATTTTAAATTTATTTGTTAATTTATTTTAAAAATAGTTTTTAGAATAATAAAATTTGTTCGTATTTATATACATATATATATATGTATATATTTTTAAGTTAATGACCTGTTGTTTTATTATCGAAATACCATTTGGTATTTAATTCTTAAGAAAACTAATTAGAAAGTTGAAGAACACAAAAAAATACGGGAAAAATTATATGAGAAAATAGTGACTCATCTGTAAAACCAAATTTAAATTATATTTTTTTATTAGAATATTGTTTGCTAAATATTTAGTTAGAGTAAATGACATATTATATTCATATGTATGTTGTCATAAATGACATAAGTATTTCATGCTGTTAAAATTGCATAATTTTTGACGTGAATCAAAACGAGATACGAGTAAGTTGAGGCATGCCTTTCTTTTTTCAATCTAAATTGTAGTAACCAAAATTTATGAAAACTAATAAATAATGTCACAAATTTGACACAAATAACACTATTTGAGAAATTCATTTAAATTCTAAGCAATCAAATATTTTGCTAAGATATTTTCCGCATAAAATTCTTTTTATTATTGAAAGAAAAAAGTATAAATAAAATTATACATGGAATTACACACTCTGGACTGTTTATATTTATACCTTAAAACAAATATATATTTAAAAAATTATGAATTATTAACATTGCGCAGTTTGATATTTAATAAACATTAAAATAGGGGTGTAATTTGTTTTAACGCCCATCAATTATGTTCCATAGCGCCTACAATTAGGTATGTGTACCACACAACTACATCATAAACCTTTTTATACCAATATGTGTACAAAATATAATAAAAATTACAGGATTTTCAAAATATTATGTAAATCACAATATAGAATATAAAACATATGCACATTCAGATATTTTCACATCTGTAAGCTCATAATATGTAAATTTCGTGTTTATTCTATATTTCATGCTGAGAAATATTAAAAAAAATAAATATTGGTAGCAGACAGCAGTTAAAGTATAATCGAAGATAACTTTTTTTATCCAATTCAGTTATAAATGCTGTAAACGCCTACATGTGTACAGCTTAACAATAATAAGATGAAAATAGTATACAATATTTTGAAAAAAGAGGACAACCAAGAGGATATTTTGGGATTTTTTGTGCTCTTATGTACATACGTACATATATGAAATATATGTTTTTATATAAGAATTTGTATGCATACATGCCATGAAATGTTTATATCACATATTTTATAACACATTGTTTAAGTTTATTCATGTATTATATAAATGAAGTGATCACTTATTATCTTATTGACTTTATCGTTAGGCGACAAAATTTTGGAATATTTATGACTTTGGCTTGGCATTACAATATTATTTTAATTTTTTATTATATCTATTTTTTTTTTTACGATCTGACCACATATTGTATGTATTTTTACGCCCCCTAATCATGATATTTTAAATATTTTTCTAAAAACACAATTTATTAGAAATTTTTTTAATAAGAATAAACTATAGGATGCATAATCAATATAAATATATGTATACATAATCCATGACTTCAAAACTGAAGTAATACTGTATCCATACACAATTCAGCAAGTAGAACACATAAGCTGAATTGTGTATTACAATGCATAATCCTAATTCAGCTAATAAGTTACAATTGATTAAGCTGAATTGTATATTACTGCAATTTTAAAGCCGGGGATATCTGAAACAAGAATATAAGCAAGTATTAAATGGTTGCGTTGCTGAATATGAAGCTGAATTGTATTTCATTTATTATTTTGCAAAAGCTTATTAGTAAGAGAGGAGCGCCCCGCCTGGCTACCCACTCAAAACCCATGCGCTCGACCAACAAGAAGGTCCATCGGCAAAAAAAGCTACTTTAATATCCGCATATAATTTAAAATTCGAGTTAAGATTGTTAGATCCAGTTAATTAGTAAGTAGAAAAATAAATCTAATTAGTCATGTGGTAAAATGTCTTGGCATTGGAGTTACAATAATGCGTACATCCTTTTACAATTCAGCAACTAACACTACATAGTATTACAGTTTTGCTTCTACAGTATAACTGGAAACTGCTTGCTGTTTTTACTATATATTTAGTTTAAAAAAAAAAATTAAAAATCTTTTGGATTCAAAACCTAAATCAAAATTTTTAATAATGCATTTGAGAAATCTGTTTAGAGGTTCATATTTTGGCACCCGTTCATTAATGATAATATCATTATCGTAATAAAACTTTACTCATTTCTAAATTTCATGTATGCATACATACTGTTGTGCACACTAAGTACATATTCATATTCCAGTATAGTGAGAACTATACATATAAAGATAAGATGACGATAAAATTTTTCACAACACATAAAAAAAAATATTAAGTATACGATTGTACAAATAAATGCTATTAACACAAAAATTTGAATAACTTCAAATTAAATTTTAATTTTTTACTTGTATTTAGCACTAATGATAAATTTCCCCAAGGATTTCAAAGAGAATAATATGCAGAATTAAAACAAAAAATTAATTTTTAGATTCGCAATTTTTTATATATATAGTGTCACAATATAAATTTCACTGTTAGATTACTCTTATATCCATCGATTGTAATAAGAATTCCGTGAGGATGACCCTACGTAGTTGTGTAGATGTGAGCTGGCTTATTTGCAGAATGTATACATTTCATATTGTAAATAGGTGTTATGGTACTCGAAGTGAAAGCAACTATCTTTTACAATTTTGGGAATACTAGTGATATTTTGTCCAAAAAAAATTTTTTGAACATAACGGCAGTCTTTACACTGGCAGCTTTAATTCGATTAAATTGTCGTATAATATGCGACAAATGTATGCTATTATTTTACTTTGTTAGATAATTTTCTTCAGAAGTTTAATAATTATTTCATATACTCTTTCTTTTTATTAAATTAACAATATTATTGTTATAATTTAACTTTTTAAACTCTTTAAAAAAAACAAATGTTCCTCACAATAAACCTGCATATAGTAATGATTTAGAAATTAGAACTTCTTGCATTCCAATTTAATCTTTAGTAAAATTTTTGAATTTATCGAAAAATCAAATTTAAAATAATTATTCTCTTATCGGAAAATTTATAATTCATAATCGAAATATGTACATTTGGTATACGATTAAAAAGTAAAATTATTAAAAATTTATGAATTATGAGAATTTTTCAAGGTTAATTTAAAAGGGTTTCGTAGTTCTTATATAGAAATTTTAAAATTTAATGTCTTGGAGAAATTATAACTTTCCCAAAAAATATATTCTCATAATTAATATTTTCTAAATTTTCATAATTTAAAATATCCTTACATTTAAATATTCTTTAAAAAAAAAAAACTCCATTTAGGATAATTAATCATAATTTTTCTTAGAATTTCTTATTTTGTTAAATAAATTTTCACTTTCATAATTTTTCCTTTTCTTATTTGTATAAAGGAAAATTTGTTTTTTTTTTTTAATATTAATTTTTAAAATGATCTTAATATTTTCAAATGGACAAATCTTAAATCGCTTATTATACTTAAATTTTATATATCCATGTATACTCTATGAAATTGGTCATAAAATTTGTTACAGAAGGTTGACTTTTTATATTTTGAATAGAGAAAAAAAAAAACTTATAATATAAAATTAAAGGCGTAAAAATCTTTTGCGCGTGGTCTTCAAAAAAAAAAGGACCTGTTTTAAGAAAAAAGAAAATACAAAAAGAAAAAATTCAAGTTGAAATTCTAAATACAAATGATCTGTGCCTCTCAATGGTTTCGAATTTCACTTAATTTGTTATAAAAAATAATATCGAAAAATCTATGACGTCCATATTAGTGCTTCATATTGGTGAATACTGATGACATATTCCGATATTTATGATAATTGATTTCTAAAGTTTTAAATCTTGAACGGCAAATCAAATAAACTCTCAGGTATTTGAAGCCTGCCTTTAATATTTCTGATTTTGACTTTAAATTTTTAATATTGTGTTCAATTTCTTCAAATGTTACGAGATTTCTAAGAAAATATACTTCGAATTTTGAAAAACTTTTACTAGAATTTTTTAAGAAAATTTCTAATTTTTAATTGAAAATTTTCAAAAT